TCTATGATGCTGCCGTTGTAGATAATAACTGGATTACCCCATTGCTGAGGTAAAATGCTAATAATAAAGAAGAAAGAGTGTTTATTAGTGCTGAATATCAAGTTATTTGACTGTGTGATGCATATGTGCACTTGATACCTTCAGCCGATGTTACCTTAAAGGCTGGTGTTGCATTAAATCACACTATCAAAAAATAAATACATATCCTGAATTATTTATAAGTGTCTGTATGTCATCAATTGAAATAGGTATATTAATTAGGTGGATGTTTTTAGTAATCATTCAATTATTAATGAGAGTATGAATTCTAGCTGGCGGCTTGAAAAAGGTGTGGCTCAGTGTTTCCTGATGCCAGAACATGTAACTAATAGATTCTGCTCTACACAAGTTTTTGCACTTTTTATTTCTGTTATTTATTCTTTATTCTTCCTATCAGATGGTGCAATGAAATTGAGGTGCTGTTGGATCAGCTTGCCAAAAAAATTAGCAGAGGAAACCTGCCCAAACAGTCTCCCAGGAAAAACACTAAGCCCAGGGAATTTGATCTGACCCAGCCCAAAACTCGACCACTCCCTGCTCCTGAAGTTATTCCACAGAAGGACAAGCTCAAGCCGGCAAGTATTAAAATAAATACTTGAAATAATGAAATATGTGTTTTATGAGTCAGTCTTTTTTTTTTTTTAAATCTATTGAAAAAACACCTAACTCATTTCATCCAATCAACATTTTATTATTGCATTATTGGTTGTTTGGGAAAAGGTCAAAAGATTCAGATATTAGACCAGTACATTATAACAGTGGTTCTTAACCAGGAGGCTGGCGACTCAGGACATTTCCAGGGGGGGGGAACAGGATCAAATATATTAAAATAATTTAAATCTAATAAAATGCTAAAAATGCATAAACTGCTAAATCAATAACCAACAACTAAAAGTCAATAACTATTGATTTTATCGAAGAAACATATGCTTTATGAAACTTCTAGAATCACAAAATAATAATGGTTAATAAATGTAATATATTAATACTCTCAGTTCTATTAATTAAAACATTAAAACAAGCAGTTTGTCATAATTACAGCAGAAATATGAGGAGTGGCTTTCAAATATCGCTTTGGATAACGGGGGCCTTTGAGTCAAAAAGGCAGAGAACCCACTGTGTTATGACATTTTTCACTTTCGATGGGAAAATTATGTTAATTGTGGCATTTGCTTGCCTCCTTCCTCAGGTACCAGCCACCACTCACAGAACTCCAAAGGAACCAGAAATTCTGGATGAGATGAAGCAGAGTAATCGACAGAAAGCTTTAGTAAGCCCAAACAGAGAGATACTGGGAAGCAAACTGCTTTTAATTTTGTCGTAATTATTACATTAATTTCTGTTCAGACTTTACCTCATGGTGTTTTTTTACTTACTCCATTAGCAAATCCTGAATGAAGCAAACTCTCAGCAGTTCAGATGTGCAAACCCGCAGAAGTCTGAGAAAACTCAAGTTAGTGTCTTACAGCACAATTGAACTGAGCGATGTTTTTTCTTCAATGCCACAGCACCACAGAATTCAAAAGCTACAAATGTTTATATTTTTTGATGAGCAGAACACGATATCCCAGATTCTTCAAAGCCGTGATGCTGAACTCCAATTTGACAAGCTTTATACTTCTGGAAGCCCTGCCACCCAAAAGGTAATTTGGACTAGATAGAGCATGCATTGATAAAAAAAAAAGTTTCTTGACACATGCACCATGTGCTTTTGAACCTATTTTTTACTATTGAGGATCTTTGTACTGTTAAAAAGTGTTTGAATGTATCTGTTTACAACGGCACAGATGAACAGCTTACCTGTCAGACTGAACACAACAGCCATACTGCGAGAGGGAGCTTTATATAATCGTCAACTGGAAGAAGAGTTACAAAGGTAGAGTCACACTCTTCAGTGGTAATCAGATTTTATTTTTCTCTGTGCAATTACTCAAATGAACTCCAAATTATTTTGACTAATTATCTCAAATTATTCATCATTAATCCAAAGCATTGAAAAGCAACTAATACCACATTAAAGAAATAGTTCTTCAAAAAAATTACAATTTCAACGAAATACAAAAGGAGACATTCATGCTGCTCTTTTCCATTTAATGAGAATGATTGTCAATGGATGTTGTTTAATAAAAAATAAAAAAAGACAAGAAGCACCATAAACTATCTATATGACATATAACTGATATTTGAGATTTTGCACTATTTCTATGTGACTAATCAAATAAATGTGTGGCATTGGCTCATTTGTACAAAAGGAGCTTCCTTTTGATCCTCTCTGATCACTACAACTGTTTGGGTAAGGGAACAGAAATCTAATCTTATAAATCTAATCTTATGTGGTAAATTAAGGTGTGCCACAAGGCTCAATATGAGGCCCTTTTAAAGATCAGATTTCGCGAGGAGCAAACTGAAATCAGAAAAAAATCTCAAATCTCATTTACATATATTTAAATAAGAAACATGAAAACATCACACTAGGACACTAGGTCTGACATCAATACTGCAATATGACATTATTTCTATAGTGGTGTAAACTACATTTATGGTTCTTCTAGGGTGACTTAGAAAATCATGAGATAAATGTGAGATCATAAAATTTTTGGGTGATCTAACCCTTCAAGGTCAAGCATAAAAGTCATGGAGGTGTTTTCTACAACATTCATGCCATGATTATTCACTTGTGTGAATAACAAAATCCTTTGTTCTAATGTATATGTATTTGGGTGTTCAGATTAGAGCGATTGTCGCAGGGTGCAAGCGAGCCATCTACGTTCCTGCAGTGGCAGAAGGAGATGAAGGAGAAGGATCTGCAGGAGGAACTAGCTGAGCTGGAGCGCCGAAGACTGGAGGGACGAATCAGCCATGAGGAGGCAGTTCTTGCACGAGAACGTGTCTTGGAGCGTAACCACCATAAAGCTCAGCAGACTAAAGAGGAGGTGATGTCATAACAAACATCAGTGTTTACAGCAATACCTGACTCAGTCTGTATTAAGTTTATGATGATGTAATGTGTGATTGGTTCAGACTGCAGAGCTCATGCGCAAGTATGCAGAAAAACGTCTGAAGGAGGAGAAGGAAATGAGAGAGCTGGTGCAACAAGTGGCCGATGGTCACAAGAACTCCAAAGCGGCCAAAGCTAAGCTGCAAGAAATTAAACAACGGATAGGTACAAAAAGTGTGATTCATATAGCATAACATTTTAACAAAATATTAAATGACAGTAAAAACACTGTATTTCTTCGGAGCAGTTAAGGAAGTCTCAGAGCAGAGCAGGGAACTCCTCAGTCAGGCTCTGGAGGAAGCCCAGGCCGAGCTAAGCAGGAAGATGGAGCTTATCTGTCAGATTCATGCTTTTGAGTCAGTACCTCTCGTCAGACAAAAGTTTGTGGATGACACTGAGGTTAGTTAATTATCTTCTTATATTTATAAAAAATTTAATTATATGCACTACAAGTCAGTGGTTTCAACGCAATGGACACAACTTACGTTTCATGATCTTTAAAAATTTAGACTGCGGGTCATGATTTGCTGTGTGAGATGTCTTTGGCGGAGCTGCGGGAGCGTTTGGCAGTCCTGAGTGAGTCAGAGCAGTGTGAGCTGGAGGACAGAAGACAGCGCATCTTTCAGGAGAAACAGCTCAAAGAGCAGCTACTGCTAGAACAGCTGGACAATATCGCTCTACAAAGAAGTCAGGCAGAACAGGCTGCTTTGCGCAGGTAACATATCAGTCCTATCACACCTGTTCCTGCATCAACATTAAGTTGGTTCAAAAGGAAAATGTTTGTTTTTTCTATTTAAACCTGGGGGAAAAAGACGCAAGACAAGTGATTGCATATACGGACAGGCACTGGCCTGGCTCAAATCCTCCCTCTTAAATCACTATTACTTTGGGTAAAGAGATAGACATCTGATCTTACAGTGGTAAAGTATGGTATGCTACAAAGCTCTGTATTGGGTCCTTTGCCCCTTTTAAAGATCTGATTTTGCATGAACATACAGAGTTTGTGCCAGCTTGAGTCGTCCTGTCATGGGGACAATGCAAATACAAAGAAATTCTGAACTTCATGTTAATTCTTCAATCTAACTTGTCACCTATTATTATGCCGCTAAACGATGAAAAAAATTGAGTTAAATTAGAAAAATGCAAATTTCACTTGTGGTCTCAGAGTTAAATATGTGGAAAGGAAGGGCTGACTGATTTGTTTTGTTTCACAGTCAAGAAGAGAAAAGAATGAGAAGTGAACTGCGGGAGGCTGTCAGTAGAGATGAGAGAGTGCTGGCCCTACAGAAGACCCTCGAGCAGAAACAACAGGAAAGACAGAAAAAAACAGTATGAAGAAAAATGAGCAGGTGCTTCCACTCACAATGAAGACCACTCTCAACAAAAAGGTGAGAAGTGACTAGAACTTGGTCCAGATGTCACAAATGTTGACACAATAACACTACAAATGTTTATTATTGTTATTTTTCTCCATTAAATGTTACAAGCAGCAGGTTCTTGAGGAACAGCACTGGCAGGAGTTGGAGCACAATTTCGAACAACAGATTTACAGGATCTTTCAGCAGTCATCTAAAACAAATGGTGCTGGTGAGAACCACAGGCGAGTTTTCTGATAGGCACATGTCTCTTGTAAATGCAAAATTACTTTTCTTGAAAGAGTATAAGAAACTGATATTGTGAAAATATGTGTAGGCATTATATAAAAAATAAATATTAACAATACTTGGTATAAAGCATGTTATCCAAGTTGCTTTTTAGGTCACCCAGCACAGGCCTGGCTGATGTTACCAAAGAATTTGGGATAAAACGCAGATTTACTCTTGAGAGAACAGTGTTTTGGCTGTGGAAATAAAACAGAATGATTGCATGAGTTTTTTTTTTCTATACTAAAATATTTCTAATCGAAATACTACAGTAACAAAAGTCATTCTCTGTATTGAATAAGGATATCAGAATAAACCAGTTCAGTACAACTTTTTAATGTTGTTCCATTTCATTTTAGCAAAATTTCCACAAATATATTTTCCTAGATTAATGGCCAAAGAATGTTTGATGAAGAGTGATTTACTCTAAAACAACTTAAATAGAACAGTTCCAAACAACCGAAACCATGTATTGCACTAGTAGTACCATAACATGAATTATCTTGAAAATAATCTACAACAGCATTTAGTGGAACGCATTGTGTGTGCTACTTAAACATTCAGAAGTGTACATAAATGAAACGATATTAAACTAATCACATTTACCTTACAATACATTTTCATACACACTGTGCCCTAAGTACAGTTTCATAGTGCTCAGACCCTATAAAAATTGAACTATTTTAACTACTTGATCAAATACAACAATATGAAGATTAAACCCTTAGTGTCTAACATGAAAAATAAAAAAAAAAGATAAAATGTTAGTTAACGGTTTATAGGTTTAACTGTATAAAATCATTCAGTCTAAAAAACATAAAACCCGTTATCCAGTTCCTGATGTATCTTTTTTCACCTACTGATACTTTAAGAAAAACTACAAAGCATGCACCGGTTTTCATACCACAGACGGAAAAAACTAAAATTATATTTTGACATTATTCTGTGATATGACAGGAAAAATATAAACTTAGACCAAAATGATGCAGTGGCTGTGGGCCAAAAGTGCTTGGTTGTAGTGGTTACATCATGAGTGATTACAGACAACTAGTTTTAAAAGACATGATATGCAAGTGAATAACAGTAAAACAAGATTCTAAAGTTAAAAAGAATTGGGCCATCATCAAGTCTTGAAGGTTATCCACCTATCAACATCTGGACTGTTATTTTAAAAACAATTAATTGTTAGTTCAAGCTAGAACAAACAAGGAAGGCCATTTATACTCTCCCATTCACTCCCAGCATTCTCATCCACATTCTCTTGACCCTTGATATGGATCAATGAAAGGACAAGAGGGAGTTTATCTCCTTATGAATCCAAGGAGGTTTCATCTTTCCATAACAGATCATTAATCAAAGAGATGTCTCGCGCCTCATTAATTCACCAGGCTTTTGGGTTCATTTTGTCTCTGAATGACATCCTCAGTTTGTTTCTGGGGGCCGGCACAGGTGGCTGAGGGGCCTGACTGTACTCTTTCCCAGGCTTTTCAGGTATATTGGACTCGTCATCTCTTTTCTGAGGGATGCAAGGGTGCTGACAGTGCTCGATCTGTCCAAGAGGTGTATTTTTGCGAGTGGATGTGTGGCTCTTCTGCAACTGCTGAATGATGGCAGAGAATTTAGCATCGAGCGAGGGTCGCCCTGTCCGAAGCCTTGCCCCCTTACAGTTCTCTTTCTCTTGATTGGACATGATATGCAAGTGAATAACAGTAAAACAAGATTCTAAAGTTAAAAAGAATTGGGCCATCATCAAGTCTTGAAGGTTATCCACCTATCAACATCTGGACTGTTATTTTAAAAACAATTAATATCGTAAGACTTAAAAAAATAGCAAATTTAGTCTGAATTCAAGTGTTTGTTCAAGCTAGAACAAACAAGGAAGGCCATTTATACTCTCCCATTCACTCCCAGCATTCTCATCCACATTCTCTTGACCCTTGATATGGATCAATGAAAGGACAAGAGGGAGTTTATCTCCTTATGAATCCAAGGAGGTTTCATCTTTCCATAACAGATCATTAATCAAAGAGATGTCTCGCGCCTCATTAATTCACCAGGCTTTTGGGTTCATTTTGTCTCTGAATGACATCCTCAGTTTGTTTCTGGGGGCCGGCACAGGTGGCTGAGGGGCCTGACTGTACTCTTTCCCAGGCTTTTCAGGTATATTGGACTCGTCATCTCTTTTCTGAGGGATGCAAGGGTGCTGACAGTGCTCGATCTGTCCAAGAGGTGTATTTTTGCGAGTGGATGTGTGGCTCTTCTGCAACTGCTGAATGATGGCAGAGAATTTAGCATCAAGCGAGGGTCGCCCTGTCCGAAGCCTTGCCCCCTTACAGTTCTCTTTCTCTTGATTGGATAATACACTGGTAGGTTGAACAAATGGTAATTTATCAGGAGGGGGTGGAGTTTTCTGAGGGATGCAAGGGTGCTGACAGTGCTCGATCTGTCCAAGAGGTGTATTTTTGCGAGTGGATGTGTGGCTCTTCTGCAACTGCTGAATGATGGCAGAGAATTTAGCATCAAGCGAGGGTCGCCCTGTCCGAAGCCTTGCCCCCTTACAGTTCTCTTTCTCTTGATTGGATAATACACTGGTAGGTTGAACAAATGGTAATTTATCAGGAGGGGGTGGAGGTGCTCTCCTCTTGATTCTGCTGGCCATGACGGGACTTGTAATTGACTGATTGCTTTCTTTACCTGGTGACAGAACTGTTTTTTGTACCACCACTGGCCGGGATCCTTCAAACAGTGCTGCCCAATAGGGAGGCTCTGTGTCCTCCTCCTGACCAATAAGAAAGCGCCCATCAGTTTCCTCAATCTTATTGTGAATTATGTCAGTCAAGCTCTCAAATTTCCCAGGGGACCCGATGCCTGAAAAGAATACATTTTTAAACAAGCAATTAAGAGAAATAACAGGAAGTTGGACTATAACTTGTCCTCCCAATTCAGTCAAATCAACCCAGTACATTCTTATTTTCTATTATAAATGATAAATATATCCTTCATTACTCACTTAGATCATTATAAACAGAGTCAGCTTGCTTCATGAGAAAGAGCGGGGGTTTCCGTGGTGACAAAACCTCTATTTCCATGATCTTGTCACATGTATGTTGCCACTGACCTGTAGAATTAGTCCATATTGGTCGTTAACATACACAAATTGTAATAAAATAATTTAGCTTTGATTTCTGACAGACATCAGGTGAACTTACTCTGGTCATAAATGTGCTGCCAGAGGGCATCCAGCCACTCCTGCAAGACGTCAGGGGTTTCAGTAATGAACACATGACTGGCAGAGTCTCCATTTCCCGGGTTTATCAGGTTGAGTCTAGTGCCAGTCTGCTGGTGGTCCTTTCCTACCACACGAATACGGGTGTCCTGCATAAACACACACAGAAACTCTAGTGCATATTTAACGTTGGTTCTCCCATTCAATGAGTCTTGTAGCAATGCATCCCAAGTGGTAAAGCTTTGGCTGTAATTTGCTATTATTGCCGTAACCTTTAATGTTGACTGCAATTAAATTACTGTGTTAACTATAAGCTTTAAGATTAGAAAGGCTGCATTGCCACAATAGCAGTCTAAAGTAACGATTATAATATAGCAGTTATATAATATGGGTGATATTAGATTTTTCTCAAATTTATCGGCCCATATTGGATACGTAATTGTGCTTGCACATTTTTCCTATTTTTACATTTAAATTACCTTTATTGTGATTGAAGGCTTACTTTACATTTTTAGATTTGCTAAAGATCTACCAGTGTTATTAAACCATTTGTAATGTCCATTTTTCATATATTACAGTGTTGTGATGCCAAAACCCACTTGTAGTATCTAAAACAATTGACTTTAATATGCTAATTTTAAGTTTATTTAGCCAAAATTGCCAATATAATTTAATATCGGATTCTGCCATTGCCATTATTGATCATAACATAACCAACAGTTACTCGTTTTTAGTTTTGGGCCAGAATAGTAACATTGGTGAAGCAGTGCTATTTTAGTATTATTTATATACTGTTATACTGTTTATTAATACTAGCTTTTATGTTTTTATTTTACTTTTAGTAATTGTTTTGTGTGCTTTTGTAATTCATTAGGGGCCAAGCCCCTATTGCATTTGTATGTGTTCTTTATTATTATTCCTCCCCAATGGGAGTCTATGGCAGCCCTATGAAGGGAACATATTTGGCACACTTGTAGTGATGTGCTGCATCCGAAATCGCATACTTCCCTACTATATAGTAGGTGAAAAACAGTATGTGAGGCGAGTAGCATGTCCGAATTTGAAAAACATAGGTGAAAAGTACCCGGATGACCTACTTCTTCCACCCGGATTCTGAAGTGTGCATTCGATGGACACTTTACTATCCCATGAGGTCATGGGAGAGGATTTATGAATGGCAGTGAAGCAACGCAACCGACGCTGGTAGGTCATGTGACAGTAACAACATGGTGGATGTAGTACATCCGAATTTCATTCATACTACCCATATTCATACTACATAGAACTTACTTTAACGGCCGTGAAGTAAATTAGAATTCAAAAGTAGTACCTACTCAGACAGTACTCGATTTCAGATGCACCGATGGTCATCATGAATAGTGAACTGACCAACTTTAGGGTCTCTAGGACCAACTCTATAATGCCACCACCAGTTAAAAAAATTCACTTTTCAAATGGTTATAACTTTTGAACCCTTTGTTCTAGAATCTGATCACTCTCTTCATGGTGAACACATTCAATAGCTTACATTAAGGCTCCACCCATTACAGTAGCAGCCATTTTGAAAAGTATAGTTTTCCATTTTTCACTACTCCTCCAAAATGTGAAAATTGGCTCAGATGATCTTTGGACTGAGCCGCACATAAATGACTGAACAGAATTTTGATATTCATCTTTGTTCAGAAGTTATGTTGTGAACTTGATGTTGACCCAAAATTGGTTTAGTGGCTGTATCTTGGCCAAACTTTGATCAATCAAAACGAAACTTGGGGTCTATGGATTCCTTGGGTCATGCCAAATCTGTGGATTTCGATTTTACCAAGTGCAATATCTTTGGAACTATTTGACATAGACACAAAAATTGGAAGAGATCATCTACAGCATGTCCCAGAGTTCCCTGAGAAATTTGAACACAGCGCCACCTAGTGTTCCAAAGATAGAGATTTTTGCAAAAACGCTTAGAACTTTTGAAAACATTGTCCAAATATTGGCTTCACTGTTTCAGTACATTCCTTGACTTATGCCAAATCTGACGATATCTCATTCTCCATCATTTTGTTTGTCCGCCATGTTGAAGTAAATGAAAAACAGTTTTTTTGCTGCTACTCCTACAAATTTTGTCCAAAATCGGATCAGATGATCTTTGGACTGAGCCGCACAGAAATGACTCAACGGATTTTTAGTATTTGCTATCGTTCCAAGTCATACCTCTTCGAAGTAGACTAATTGCTTAGCATGCTAACCGGTTGCCATTCTTTCTAATGTGGCTCTTAAGCTATCAAGCTAACCATAAGCCATGTTAGCGTTAAGTTAGCTTCGCATGCTAAACTGATTAACGTGCCAAGAAACTTTTTTTGTGAGTTCATTCTCGCACTGAAACCTCTGATGCAGAAGTTGCTGCTGCTGCAGGCATTGTTCCTTTCCAAGAATCATCTCACCTGAAACTATTAATGCGACACACAGTGCTTTAACTTACAAATTCATTATTTTGAATTGAACTTCTGAACTTCAGTATCTGTGTGAACACCCATCTTCCCAGTGGCGCAACAAGACAGGCACTTGACCTGGAGATTGTGGGTTTGATTCCCGTGTGTTACAACCTAAAGGGGTCATATGATGCGATTTTAAGTTTTCCTTTCTCTTTGGAGTGTTACAAGCTGTTCGTGAATAGATAAGATCCCCAAAGTTGCAAAGACTAAAGTCTCAAACCCAAAGAGATATTTTATTTAAAAGTTAAGACTCGTCCACACCCACCTAAAACGCCTAGTTTAAACATGCCCCCACATGTCTACGTCACTATGTGGGAAGATTTGCATAACGCCGCCCAAATGTTCACGCAAAGAAAGAAGGAGTAACTTT